AAACAAACAAAAAAATCCAGCAAAGACCTGGCACAGGAGCTGAGATGCATCTAATCCTCCAGTTGATCGATCTACTGTTCAGTGAAGCCTCAACAAAAATCGTCTCAATGCAAAGGTGGCTGTCTAGAAATGTTTGGCAGAAAAGTCAAATTTTGTCCAAAACTCGAGTGCCTTGAGGTGACTTTAGTTGTGATTTGGCATTAGAAAAAAAAAATTAAAACTGAAATGAATGAGCTCTTGTGATGGTATTTGCTTAAAAATGTGCAAATAGAAACAAAAAGAAAGAACCACAACATTACAACTAATACATGCTGTGAGCAGTACATTAAAAAGAAAAAGTATGTCCATGCTTTTTTCCTTTCTGTTTGATCCATGCAATTAAGAAATGTTTAATAACAGTTAATACACCTACGACTAGTGGTGTGTATGGTTGTCCAGCTGCACCATGGCACGACAGAGGGTGATTAATATGGGCCAAAAAAAAAAAAGTCATTGGACATCCTCTTCCCTCCTTGAAGGACCTGTCCAGCACTCACTGTCTCACGAGGGCAGGCAGCATCCTACAGGATTGCACACACCCAGGGCACCGGGTGTTTAAGCTGCTGCTGTCTGGCAGGAGATTCAGGGTACTGGTATGTGGATAAACAGACTCAAGGACAGCTTTTACAACAGGGCAATAGCCCTAAGCAATGCTAACAGCTGACCTGATTGGCCATCACGTGCAATGAACATTCACCCATTCATTTATTTATTTATTAAGTCATTCATTTTTCTTTTGCTCATACCTTTTTTGCACTTTAAAAAAACCCCCACTTTAAGTTACTGTGTTGTGTTCAGGTGTGCATAGTGCTGATGTGGGACAATTTCCAATTTCGTTTGTACTATTGTACTAGGTATGACTCTGACAATAAAGCGTTATCTTATCTTAAAAATATATATTTAAAAAAGTTAAAAAGACTGTTGCAGAAGCCAGAAAAGAGAGGTTTAAGACTGGCGGAAGACCTGCAAATAAGGACACGGAGCAGTTGGATGAATTGCTGATGGGAATAATGGAAAACCAACAACCTTTGGAGAACATATGAGATGAGCTCAGACGGGGGATCAAGCACACCTAAACTGAGTATATTAGTGCACTGATTTAGCCTCTCCTAATCATTTTATACTATTGTTTGTCATCAACAACTGTCTCATCTGTTCATTTAATTACATTAACTGTTCTTGTGTGTAGGTGGAAATCAAATGGACAGAACTGCAGAGTTGCAAGGCAACTTCCTAATGGAGCTTCGGGAGTTGCAGAGACGTCAAACGGCCGCTGGCTATGTCCAGATGTTGACGAGAGGATCCGTTATTACTGAGGGCCCTCATCTTTGTGGTAACAACTGGGTTTTTCAACAGGACAACGCTACAGTACACAATGCCCGCAGAACAAGGGACTACTTCCAGGAGAATAACATCACTCTTCTGAACTATCCCGCGTGTTCCCCTGATCTAAATCCAATTGAGAACCTTGGGGATGGATGACAAGGGAAGTTTACAAAAATGGACAAAAGTTCAAGGCATCTTCACCACTTGGAGAAATGTTTTCAGTCACCTCAAGGAAAGGCTTGCAATCAAGCATGCAGCAACAAATTTTTGAAGTGATCAAAAATAATCGTGGAACTACTCATTACTGACTTCATGTTTGGAACTTTGACTTCAGTTTAGGAGGGGGGGCTCTTTTGGAGGTGTGATCCTAAACTTTTGATCAGCTGTAAAACCGCCTGTTTCAGTTTAATTGTTTTAATTGCATCAAAAAATGTTTTGTCTCACTCCCATTTCTTCTCATTGCATGTTGAAGCTCTACTTGGAACCTTGTTAAGATCCAATCATGCAAAATACGATTGTTTTTTGCCATTTTTCAAGATGTTTTAATCTTTTGAACGGGACTGTATAAGAGATATTTAAAGTTATCAATTTTTCCTATGCTGCATAATTCCATAAATCTTGCTTTATACTTTTCATGTCGAAAATAGTAAAAATAAAGTAAAAACATTAATGAGAAGGTTTGTCCAAACTTTTGACTGGTAGTGTACATTTTCTAGTAGATAGGTAACGAGCTGTTAAATTTATTTAGAAAAAAAATGCCCACGGGAATATGGAGGAAAAACACAGACATGAATGTATCTTACATCTGTGGATCTGTGCAAAGCTGGCAGTGTTAAATTTCTTTCAAAACCCCCACATGGGCTTGTGATGTATTATATTTTAACCTTTTTTTTTTTTTAAATTTGCCTCTTACGGGCACCAGCATACCCTCCGCATTGATCACTCCGCTTACTGCCACAACATCATCATGCAGTCACTTATATTAATGCCACTATTAAGGTGTGGTAACCTGCTGCAGTATTCTCCTGAATGATAGGTGCTGGCCACAAATGTACCGATGTAGGAAGAGAAGAAATCAAAACCAGAAGCAAATAGTTTTTCCAAAGTGTTTTTAACAAAGTCTCCAATTTTTAAACAGCTGCAACATTGTCCTCTGTATAACTGTATCCGAGTTTCTGTACTGGAATATCATTAAAAACGAACACACTCAAACATTTGTGTCTTCAACCCAGCTGTGACACAACCCGCCACGTTACGAGAAATCGAGAGCCACACAATCGGCCGCAAATATTGTGACGAATGCCTCATGATGTGATATCAAAATCAGCGAGCGACACCCATGACACAGGTTGCACAGCAAGCATAAAAACAACATCATTATCCATTCCTGGGTCCACTCTTCTTTGATTCCCATAGCCAAAACAAACACTGTGGTATCACTGAGTTAAAAGTGGCCCAAATGATTTCATCTTCAATAAAATGATCAGTGTGGCTGCCTCCCAGCTGTTACAGTAACATTAACATCCAGGCATGCATGAAAGAGAGGTTGAAGTTAGCAGGAAGTTAGTTTGCCAGTTTCCATCTAAAGAGGAAATGCCATGATCCGACTGGCACGATCTGATATCGTCGTGTTGGTGTTGTTCCCAGATCATCATACTAAATGTTGTTCCAGGATCAACATTGCAAGTGACCAATCAATGTTGTGACGTCATACTTTTGCGACTTTGGGAAAAACCGCCGTAAAACAAAAAACTGTACTTAAGCTGCGAGAAACCGCCTCTGTCCGCCGATCAACGGACCCTGACCCTAACCCTTTAATAAATGGTAAGCAGAACTGATATTGTCCTTGCAACATTGGAATTTCATAAATGCACGAATGGCTTGGCGCGCAAAAGAATAACCTGGAACAACATTTTCATGATGATCTGGGAACAACACCAACACTACGATATCAGATCATCCTTCTGACTGACGGATTTCTAAAAACACTAAATTAAACAGCACCAGTGTTTGTATGGTTTATGAAGTTGGGCTAGCTGGCATAGAATGGCTAGCTACAGAGCTATGGTTAAGATAATACAAACAAATTTGCAGAACGAAGATTGAGGATGAACATTAACTTTTTCACCCCAAAACCCCTTAATGTGAGAGTCAAATACAAATACAACCATATAACAGGTGTACAGGCTAAGCCTACGCTTGAAGCCACTGAGGTGTATGACTGGTGAACTTGACAAGAAAGTCCAGTCAATAACTCCAGCTGTATTTACCTTGTCAGTTTAAGCAGTCTAAGCAATCACCGTTGATTGCATTTGATATTTCACAGTTGATCGTAAGATCCAACATCATCCAACATAAATCA